TTATTATTACAAACGCTCAGACAAAAGATCTTAATCAGAATTATTTACAACACAGTATAAAAGCTAAAACTAGCAGTAGTAAAGTACAAGATAGGATAGTGCACTATATTGAAGCAATTATTGGAACAATTATATTAAAGCTGGCGAAAAGGAGATAATTATTAAGTAGAGATTTGATGTGACTCACCCAGATCAACCCTCAAATCTTTTTCTCTCAACCTCCAGGCCCAGCAGAGCCCATCCTCCATGTATCTCCCAGGAGTTACACCATCAAAACCTTCCCAGAGAATTGCTGGATGAACACACACACTCAAATATTTCAGTCAAAGTGAAGAAGGAAGTCAAATAATGAAGGGTAAGTGTGAGCCAGAATTTACTCTATGAGTAATCATCTTGCAAAAACACACTCCTGGGCCAATGGAACAGGCAACTGTGGGCTCTTCTCTCCTGCTATGCTAAATATTTGCCTCTCTTCAACTTCTCTTAGAGAAAAAAAAAAATCATGAGTGCTCGTGTTTCCTTTCTCTCAGGGGTTTTCTCCCCTATTTTTTTTCCTCTCTTGGCACATTTTTAGCTCCCAGTTACGTTATGAATACCCAAATAGACCCCAACAAAATCATTCTGCCTTGAAATGGCTTTTGTGTTAGTGTTCCAAGCAATTACCCTTTGGAAAAAAATATTCTTTATGATTTGAAGCGTGGAGAGATAACTAAGATTATTCTCTATTAAAAAGCAGGATTTTTTTTTTTGCCATAAAGGGAACAGGAAAAAAACCATCAGAAGAAATATTCCTCCAGCAAATATTTCTGCTGTCTGAAGCCTGTCACTTCCATAAATCACTCTGTGCTCTGGGTAATACACACGACTGTACTACAAATGAGCATTTAATTAGTGCTCTAATACAAATACCAAGCACCTCCTGTGCTAATAACCAACATTTGGGGCTGTAAATGTTTGTCAGGTAAATATCATGGAATTGTGAGGCTCCACCTGACCTCAGGCAAGGAAAATGAGTGAGATGAATTTGCTGGCTCCATTATCCAGAGATCAATTGATGGCATCACACAGTGCTGGCAGGAGATACCAGAGGTCAAGGAAAGGCCATAAACCGGTTCATGGGGAAATGAGCCTCAGACATAGTAGGGACAAAGCTCAACAGCTATTTTTAGGCAGTTAAAAGTTACAGAAAAAGGGTCTCACATAACCACATAGTGAATTTTATCAGGAACGTCCTGGTGGCTTGGTTCTGTGACTCAGCCCTGGCTCAGTGCTCTCCAGCAGGAATTTGGAGGTTTGTCCTCCCACAAGGGTTCAGGGAACCATCAGCTGGTGTGGTGTGGACAGAGACAGGACCCTGTGGAAGCAGGAGTGTGTCTGGATCCCAGGGACACTCTGTGTGAGGCAGAGCTTGGTTCTGTACCAAACAGTAAAGAAAAAAAGTAGCTCTGGAGGCCAATAAATGTGTGTGTGTTTTCAGATGAATTTTTAGCACACACTAAAAATAAATTGCTGGAGATAAGCCTCCCCATTCCAGGGGAGAGACACTCCCAGAATTCCATAACCGGAAGGTTCCTGTACCACTGGTGGTACTGAATCTATAAAATTATTTATACATATGCACTGATTTTGTACAAAGAGCTCAAATAAGCTTAAGCATAGTCTGGAACCTGAATTTACACACCATTTCCACTGTAGTTGCACATCACTCAGTGGCTGCAGCCATCCACATCCCAGCCTGAGGGACTCCAGCACTGCAAAACTCCTCAGCAATCCCACATTTCCATGTGGACTTCCAGTCCTTCTGCAACTCACCATCCGTGTCAGCTCCTCATTGGCAGAGGCAAGTTTGGGACAGATGAGACATATCCCAAAGATGCTTCCACCTCATGGGATTGGCAACCTGAAGTAAAGTGAATTTATGGGCAAAACAGCTCAGTGGTGAGGAATGGTTGGAGAGGACTCTTGGGATGAACCCTAAATATTGCTGTCCACTCATTTGAAGGCCACCAAATATAAAAAGCTGATTTCTGCTTCTGAAGTATCCTTTCAGGCCATCTGTCCTGGGACATGTGTCAGCACCCACCTGTGGGAATATTTACCCTTTCCTCTGCCTTTGTTGGCTGCTTGAACCACTCAAGTAAATGAGTAATGTGGATCCCAACAGGAAATGCAGAAATTTACTCCCAGGAAAGCCATGTGAATTTGGACTGGGCACTTTATGCTGATCATCCTCACCAGGTCTAAAACCAGGAATAGAATCAGCAGGAAAAACACAAGAGACTTAATCCTCCTCCTTAGCACTGCTGACTGCAAGAGGGAACCTGAATGTCTGTACAGATCTGAGCTGCATCTTCCCATTACACAGTCCAGATTTGCTGTTGGACATGAAAACTCCATCTATAATGTATAAGGAAAAATTGTCACCTCAGGATGGAGACTAAAACGCCTCTGAGTAATTTAAAAGCTGTAGTGAGGCAGCTGATAGGACAAAGTAGACACAGTTTAAACTCTTGTCCCTCTCCAGACATCAGCACTTCACACAGGGCTGTAAGCAAATGGTTTTGACACTGTGCTCTCCAGAGCTGGGAATCCTTTTTATTCAGAAGAAACTGCCAAAATAAGGTACTGGGATCCCAGGACCTTCTCATTTCCATGGCCTCAAATACAGCTCTTCTGAAAAAGTGCTCTGGACACCAGAGCTGTGATTAGTGTCTAGGTAGGAATCAGTCTTTTTTCTTCATCAAAGGTTTCAAATTAATCTGGAGAAGAAAACAAGGCAATAAGAAAGTCAGACTCAAGTGAATCCTCAGCTCAGGACCTGACATAGGTCCTGAGTTTGAACATATTCAGTGCCCACAGTGACCCCACTGAGCTGGATTCATCTGGCCAGATGTTGGCATCTTCTCTATAAATCTGTATGTCTGAAAAGGTGAACATAAAACAATAATTTTTAGAGTCAATGGAGGTGCAGGGCACAGAGAAAGAGAGGAATATATTGAAAGGTAGGGTGTCCAAACTGAACATCTAAAATATGTCATAAGAGTCATCTTTTAAACTGCCTGTTCCTGTCCAAGGATCCAGGTTGACCAGCTCACCTCATGATGCCTCTAAAACCACTGGCTACAGCTACCAGTAGTACATCTAATATTTTGCCTGTCAGAAAAATCATTTAATTCACTTATTTTTTTAATTAATCTTAAATTCTCTATGGTTCCATTTCCTACCTGAAAGTGGCTCGGTGATCCATGGCTGTGGAAAATAATCCCATTCGTGTTTATGCAGTTCTAAGTTACTGCAGTGACAAGAACCTGGAAAAATTAATACACTTCTGCCTTCAGACTCTGGAGGGTTTGAGGAGTGCTCAGTAAATCAAGCAGAGGGCTGTTGCAAAAGAGAGGTAGAACCCAATGTTGTTTTGCTGCCCATTTGAAAGAGCACCAATATGCTGAATAAAAAAATACTAATACAGGCAAAAAAATAGGGTGGAATTTTATTCAAGCAAACAGAAAGGGAAATTAAGGTTACACAGGCAAATTGTTCCAGTGTTTTCAGACTTCTGAATAACTTACACTGCAGTTTCAATGTTACTTTAATTATTTTTCTTCAGCTGCAACCTACACAATAGTATGTTCAGCACTCTCTATTCCAAAGGCATCACTCTGTCACCAGGTGAAAAACAGATTCTATTACTACACTGAAGATTTTGAAAACTCTTTTCTAATTTCAAGTCAGAACACAAATGTTTGCCATCTGCAGTGGATCAGAAATTGTGAAAAACAGCTCTATTTCAGCATTCAAGTGTGCAGCTTTCACTCCATCTTCTCAAAAAATAATAACTAAAATTAGCTCTGTAGAAATGTTGGGGAAAAAGAATACTTGATTTAAGTTAAATTTTAATTTTCATTAAAAAAATAAAACTCACCATTAGAATTTTTTTATTCCTCAAAAATAAATGCTGGAAAAAACAAATACCTTTTCAGTGTCTCTGATGTTTATCTTCACTTAGTAATGAATTAATGAGTTCAGGTTTTTCCATCTTCCTTTGAAGACAGTGAAATAATACTTTTTTTCTTTAAGTTGGATCAAAATTTATCCCAACATTCTTGGGATATCTATAACCAGGAAGGCTTTGTGTCTTTTGTTAAAACCTTTTTGTTGACTGAGCATATGAGACTGTACAAATGCTACCCAGATTATATAGGATGCAGTTAGCAGGGAATGTGCAGCTGAACAGGGAGGAAAAGCTCATGTGTGGGGATTTTGAGCCCAAATCTGCCACGTTGAATCTTGGCAGGAGAGCTCAGAATTTTATCAGGTTCTGTGCTCTTGGTGCACAGAGAGGAAACACATTTACTGCGTGAAATATTTATTCTGAAAGGTGTTGCTTTAAAGGTCAAAGCAGGGCCCCGGTGGGTGGTGCTGGCTGGGAGTTAACTATGACATGGAGCAGAGAGTCCTTCAGTGGCATTCCATGGGATGCAACCAGCTCAGTCCATCTGAATTCCTTCCCTGTGAGGGTGGTGGGGCCCTGGCACAGGTTGCCCAGAGAAGCTGTGGCTGCTCCATCCCTGGAAGTGTCCAAGGCCAGGTTGGAAGGGGCTTGGAGCAACCTGGACTAGTGGAAGGTGTCCCTGCCCATGGCAAGTGAGTGGAATGAGATGATCTTTAAGGTCCCTTCCAACCCAAACCATTCAATGATTCTACGAATCCATGATCACAATTTGCATTTGCTTATCCCCTCCAGGTTACAAGAAGCTCCTGACACTGTTACAGCCCTAAAATGAAAGCCCAAAGTGAGCAGTGAACAACAGAAAGAGACTGCAACTGGACAAGTTGGATGAACTTGGAGCAACCTGTCCTAGTGGAAGTTGTCCCTGCCCATGGCAGAGGGTTGGAAACAGTTGATCTTTAAGGTCTCTTCCAACCCAAACCATTCCAAGATTCCATGATTCTGTGATCTGACTGGTCACAGGAGGTAATTTGGAAACTGGTATCTGTAGGAGGTGGAAAAATGAAGGAAGCTTCGCCTCTCAAGAAGGAATATGCTGTGGAGGCAAAGATGAACTTTTATGAACTGTTTCAGAGTGTGTTTTGTGTTTAATATTGTGTTTTCTTTATTTATTGTAATATTCCCCTCATTATTATACCCTAGTTTTCCAGAACTTTCCCTCATCCCTCATGGCCCTAAACCCTGTCCTCTTGTTGGTTAATTTTTGGTGCAATGCAGCACCTTTCCCTATATGGTTTTACCACCCTGTTAATTTACATACTCCATCCTTGCTCCTCCCTAACTCCACCCCTTCTTCCAGAGGGTTCTCCCCTTACCATATAAAAGGTGGGAGCCATTTTGTGTTGATTCATTCTAGTAAAACCTGGAAAGAATGTTTATTTATATGGGATACGTGAGGTGCCCTCTGGCCTTGCTTCTGATACCTACATTGCATGGGAGAAATTGTCCCTGTTACTAATTAGCCAGCTGGCACTGAAGGGATGTTTTGCTTCATTAAAACCAGGTTTTGAGGGTTGGTTTTGTTCCCCTCCATCTCCACCCACTGTGTTCTGTCACTTCAACAGGCTCTCCTCCCAGGAGACTGGACTTAGTCAAGATGTTTGGTAATTAAAAAAAAAAGAATAAAAAGACAAAAGAGAGAGAGAAAGCAGACTGTCTAATTAAAAACAATCTCTGAGGAGTAGCCATCCCTCAGCTTAATATTTTTTCTGAACTAGGAAGGTTCTTAATTTTTTAATTACTCTTTGTTGTTCATTGTTATGAAGAGGGGCACAGGGTGTTCATGGCCTTTGTGGACAGGACTGTCCAGTTTGGTTGATCAGTCATTCCCATTAGCAAGAAGTTACCAAGGATATGTATTTTTATCATGTTTTGCAGTATGGATTTGTTTTCAGGATCATAAAAGCACATCCCTCTGACAACTTCTGGTGAACTTCAGCCACAGAGCCATAGCTCAGAATGATATTCCCTGCAAAACTCCTTTTCCCCAGTGAACTTGCACTGGCTGAACCAACATAAACTTTCTGATTCTGTGTCAGATCAGCACCTGAAATCTCACTTCTGTAGGATCATAAACTCATGGAATCATAGAATGGTCTGGGCTAGAAGGGACCTGAAACATCATCCAGTTCCAACCCCTCTGTTTTGGGCAGAGACACCTTTCACTAGACCAGGTTGCTCAGAGACCCATCTAATGATGAGACCCAAGAATTATTCACACACAACAAAGTTCAAGCCAACAATAAGTGTTTTAACCTGCATGCTGTCCATGCTTGTCAAAGTCTGGTTTTTGTGTGCACTGAATGGAGAGAAGCAGAGGTTGTACCCAGATAATCTGTTCAGATAATGTGCTTATTCATCTTCTTTGATTAATTAAAAAATGCTCTTATTGTGGTTAAATTCACCTCATGTATCATTCACCATCTCTAGTAGGCATTTACCCATGGATCACTCAGCCCAGAATCCCTGTATCCCTCAGTGGAAAGGATGCAGCTCTCTGGGTTTATTTTGGGTGGGATGAATTGTGCTCTAGACCCCAACCACAGGTCTAGGGAGCACAAAGAGAACCCTAGAGAAATATCTGATATATAACACCTCTACCACAGACATTTATGCTTTTGCAGTTGAATTATACTCCAGATATTTCAATCATTCATCCCTCTCTTAAAGTCACATATTCCTGTAGTATCTAATTTCTCTGGTAGAACAGCCTCACCTCCATTTCTTCACCCAGTGAATGTCACCCCCCAGTCACCTCCTGCCTTGTCCCCACTCTCCATTCTGGCAGCAGCTGGATTATGCAAACACCAGCCCAACATGTTCAGCTTGATTTGCAACCTCAAAATAGAAACCTGCCAGTGGAAAACTGATGTCTGTGACATTGCATTAAAGGTTATTTCCCATCCTGGTGCATTAAAGCCTTCCCTGGCAGGAGGTGTGGACTAGAGCAGCAGCAGTTTAAATTCCCCAGGGAAGAGGGCAGTGAGAACCCAGGCACAGCAAAATGCAGTGAGCTTTATTTTCTTCACAAGCATCGAGGTTGTGCTGAATATGAACAAAATCTCCTCTTCTGGTCATTGCAGCTACAGCAGTGAACTCTAACAAGGATTAACTGTGTGTTATTCCCCTCTCATTTCATTGTTTTGTTAAGGGAACCATTGCCTACCACCTCGTTGTCAAACACTCTATTGATGCTTCAGTTTTGGTGTTGTTTGAAGGCAATTCAGTGGAGAGGCTTTTGATTGGGGCAGAGTCAAGAACAAGGGATGATCATTCCCAAACATTCCCTTGTTGCTGCTGAATAAGAGAACTGGCACCTGGCTGGGGAGCAGTGGAGTGTGTGGAGTCTTCCCATCCACCTCTTCTTTTTCCTACACACTTTTAATCCACAAAAAGCTTCTCAAAACCTCGGGGTTGACAAAGGATTTCTGTTTGTGCAGGCAGGAAGTACTATTATCAAATTTTTCCAGTTTTATATATTAACATTTACACCCCTGCGAAAGCCTGGAGCAAACATGCTCTTAACTAGTTACAAATCCAAAGCAGAGAAGTGTTAAGACAAGGGAAAGCAGAGGATTTTTGCCCCAGAGCAAGGGAAGGATGATGCACCTGCAGATGTAGCAGGTCAGTTTACATGTAAAATTGTGAAATATGAGGTTTTACCACAACAAATCTCTGCAATTTTTGAGAAATCAATCTCCTATTCCTTTCTCTTTTCTTTCAGGAGTCATGGCAGGGGATGTGATGAAAACCAAGATGTGGGTTTGATTGCTCCAGAAGCTCTTGGAAAACACAGGACACCTCCATGACAGGTGCTGTGCACAGTTAAACCTCCAAAACAGTTTGGGGAGTTAATCTTTAAGAGAGTTTTTCAATGAGACACAAGCAGGCAGTTGCATAAACAAGACTCAGATGTTAAGTCCCAACCCCAAACCCTAAATCTGCTTCCAACAGGTGGCTGAACTCTCCATAAATTATGGTCAAATCACTTCAGCCCCTTATCCAGTTAGATTTTCACCTACACAGCAAGGAACTGTCACATCCAGAGGTATGACACTGCATAAGAACAGAAATTTCTTTTTTCATTTTTCAGTGATTTCATGCTTTAAATATGAGGGTTTAAAAATAACCCAAGACATGAAGAATACAAATTTTTCCAAAAAAAACCTCCACCCATTCTCCACTGTCTTCTTAAAGTTTTCCCACACCTCAGTCTTTTCTGGACACCTTAATCTGTCTTTTTATGTCTCTCAAAGGGGGGAGCATAAAAGCTGTTTTAAATATAACTGTTAAATAAATAACATGTTTAAATGTAAATATTTTATATAAATAAAAACCATTGTGGTTATCTTTTACTGCAGCACGTTGTGATAGCAGCCCCAGTGCCATTGTTTCTTTGGAAGAAAATGTGACAGTGCAAAAAAATTGGGATAACTTGTGCAATTCTCTCCCCTGTGTCACCCAAAGGGCACATTTTTTATGAAATGCATATGTGGAAAAACTGTCCCAGCTTTTCTTGCTGCTTCCTTCTTCTTGATCTTGTCTGACCTGCCTTTCAGACCCAAAGATGTGTCCAAGTCGTCAATGAAGAGAACAAAACTTGGGAAAGAGTTAAAACCAGCAGATGTAATGCAACAGAAGGGAACATTATGTCAGAGATGTGTGGCAAATGCCATTTTTCCTTTTCAATTCTCCTGTAATTTTTCCAAATTTTCTATTTCCAGCAGGGGTTTGAAGCACAAAATTTCACTTGACTGATAAGGAATAGTTTTATTTCCATAAAGATATGTTGGTTTTTCTCTTTTCCTCTCTCTGAAAGCATCTCCCAGAAGATCCAAAAAACAGAGGACAGGGCCAGGCTTCCTGATATTTGACATCACTTCACTCAAGAATTTCTACCACAATCAATTTTAAGCGTTGGGAGTTCATCAGGATAAAATCTCAATCACAGCATCACTTCCAACTTGTACCATGGTACAAGGTGTAAGACAGAGAGCAAAGTTATTCCCTACGGGGTCAGGAGGGTGATATCAGGTGCAGCAAAGCAGATTTTTATGGCTGAATAAAGGGCTTTCTGTCTCTAGGTCCCAGCTCATATTGTAGGTTTTCTATCAAAATGGAGAGATGACTCAAACTGCCATTAAAAACTTGGAAATCTCATGATCCAACCTGCTGTTGGATCTCCAAAATTAAATTATGGCTAGACAAGCTATTGTCTGTCCAGGTTCTGTGATTGCTGGGACAGGCTTCAAAAAAAAAATTCTAATTCTTGACAAAATAATATAAAATAAAATAAAATAAAATAAAATAAAATAAAATAAAATAAAAT